CCTCAGTTTGCTGGTCTGCAAACTGGGGATGGGGATGGCACCCACCTCATCACTCGGGGAAACAGCTCAACGCTGGGCCAGCACATGCTGCGGCTGTTAGCACCGTCACCATGGTTACAGCAAGTAGTTACCATGAGCACCGCGAGTGGGGCTGTGGACCAGCCCGCCCACCCCATCTCGCTCTGTCCCCTTTGTGACGACCAGGCTCTGGCATTGAGTCCTGTGGTCACTGGAGATTGGGGACTTAAGGTCGGGGGTCAGTGGGAGGTCCCACCTCTGCATGTACCGTCCAGGCCACTTGGCCTCCTGTCCAGGTAAAGGGAGGTCTGTCGCGTTGGGGAAACTGAGGCAGGGCCCTGCACCTACCATTGGCAGCTGAGTGACCTGGGACTCCGCCTTGGCTGGAGGTCTGAAGCCGCCCACCCTGTGCTTGGCCTCCCAGTGCCTTTAAAGCTCTTGGTGAGTTGCTGGCATTAGAGGCGGGGCAGCCTCCCGGAGGGTCCCTAGGTTCTGGGGAGATGGGGAGGTGGGCCCACTGGGGAGCCGCCTGGGCACTGTCCCCTTTGGCCCATGGGGTTCCAGCAGCAGCGCCTTCCAGAGGGGTGTGTGGCCTGGGGAGAGGGGCTCATGCTGTGAGTGCTCCCCCCCTTTGGAGCCGGAGTGAGGGTCACACGGTGCTGAGGCCCCAGCTACCCAAGGGGCCAGGCCAGTGACAGACCTGGGAGGGGCTTGGGCCGAGCGATGGCACAGCCTGTGTAGAGGATGGCTGCCCACCTGTTCCGGGGACTGTGGGTGCAGATGTCCTCAGGCCTCCAGTGTGCAACCTTTCCCAGCAGGTGCTTTCGGGGTGCACGTCCCAGAGAAGGGGTTCATGTCCTCTGCTTGTGAGAGTGCATGGGGGTGCTGTCAGCAGGACCAGAGTCCCCTCACCCCACAGCCAAGGCCAGCCCCCCGCCCAGGGCATTCTCTCCTGGCCCGGGGAGTCCGCTGCCGGGCTCCTGCCCACTCAGTGCCCCCCGAGCCTTTGTGCCGGGCGTGGCCTGGCATCCAGGTTACCCCTTTCTCTTCGGGCTAATGGGTTTGGGCTGCCCTTGTATTGCTGTCGCTGGGGTGCTGGTGAGCCCCCAGTAACCACGGTCACCTTAAGGCAGTGGTTCTCAACCTTCCTAATGCCGCGACCCTTTAATACAGTTCCTCATGTTGTGGTGACCCCCACCCATAAAATTATTTTCGTTGCTACTTCATGACTGTAATTTTGCTACTGTTATGAATCGTAATGTAAATATCTGAAACGCAGGATGTATTTTCATTGTTACAAATTGAACATAATTAAAGCATAGTGATTAATCACAAAAACAATATGTAATTATATATGTGTTTTCTGATGGTCTTAGGCGACCCCTGTGAAAGGGTCGTTCGACCGCCAAAGGGGTCGCGACCCACAGGTTGAGAACCGCTGCCTTAAGGGCAAGCTCCCTGCGTGCAGCACATCACCAGCCACAGGCTTCCCGGGCAGCTGCCCTCATCCCCTCCTTGGCTTGGGCCGCAGGGATGGACTGAGCCACGTCAGGGCACAGCGGCTGTGCGGGCCTGGGCCCCACAGAGGCTCGGGGACCCTGGCCAGTCTCCTCCCTGCTCTGGGCCCAGACCCCACAGCTTGGCTTCCAGAATATGACCCCAAACCAGCCGTACTTTCTTTTTCTGAGTTTCTCCCTCCCCCATGCCTTCGTGGGGTCATGGTCGGCACCTGGGTGGGTACAGCAGTGCTGTCAGGAGCTGTGCTCATTTCTGGACCCCAGAAACCAGGTCCTCTGGGCCCCTCTTGGCTGTCGGTGCAACTTCACACCCACTCGCTCTGCGAGGCCCCATGGGCCTGGGGGCCGGCAGCCCTGTGCTGCAGCCACTGTCGCCATCTGGGCCTGGCGACACCAGCAGGAGGGCAGAGCCTGGCCTGGGTCTTGTGAGCCGCCTGGGCAGGGACAAAGGCAGCCAACACCCCCCTCCAGGCCCAGCGTGGGCAGGGCCCCTAGAGACAGGGGGGAGGAGAGACGGGTGCCCACCACTGCTGCCCGGCTGGGTGCAGAGTGGGCCAGGCGGGGGGCGGGGAGTCGCAGGCCCCTTGAGGGAGGCCTCGGTGTTGCACACAGCCGGCCTGTGTGTCCCTGAATGGGTGGCTTTATCCTGGGTCCTAACCGCCAGGACCTGGCCCATGGAATCAAGCCAGGCTGCCAGGCCCGGGACCAGCCTGTCTGGGGAGACAAGAGGTGTGGCCACAGTTCCTGGGTTGAGGCCAGACGCCTGGCCTTTGCCCAAGCCAGGCCCGCCCTCCTGGCAAGAACTCAGGGTGTCCGGAGGGTGGTGGCGGCTGCCGAGTCTCTGCCTGATGGGGCCCCAGCCTTCTCAGGGCTCCGTGTCTCACCAAAGCCCCGGCCATCCTCCCGCCTGGCCCCTCCAGAGCGAACAGGAGACACAGTCCCACCCACGGGCCAGAGCCGAGGCCCAAACTCCAATTAAATCCTGGGTCAGTGACCGTGGGAGGAGCCACCAATTCTGGACCCTTGGGCTACAGGAGTCTGTCACCCCACCTCTGAGATGGCTGATAAAAGTGGCCTGGGCTGTTCTCGGCCCCACACAGGATGCCCGTGCCACTGTTCTTGTCGCTGGGCATTCTGTACATGAAAGGAGGTTGCACAGAACTGCTGGCCCCTGCCCACCACATGTCCCCTGTTGTGACCGTCACTCCTGTCCCCAGATATTGCCACATGTCCCCTGGGGGGCAGATTTGCCTGGCTTACTAATGGTGCCAGTGGGCAGATATATAAGAGAAGGTGGGCATCCTGGAAACCCGATGAAGGGGCCAGGGCTCCCGGAGGATGTGGCTCAGTGTGGAGAGGCTTCCGTGGTTGGACCAAAGTAACGTTCACTGGTAGAATCCTCCGTAAAACAGACCAGAGTCAAGAGGGGCTGGCCCTGCAGGGTTTGGAGTTTGGGTGGACCCAGTTGGGGGCAGAGCGCTAACACAGCCACACCTCACCTGCAGCCACAGCCACACCTCACCTGCAGCTACAGCCACACCTCACCTACAGCCACAGCCACACCTCACCTGCAGCCACAGCCACACCTCACCTACAGCCACACCTCACCTACAGCCACAGCCACACCTCACCTGCAGCCACAGCCACACCTCACCTGCAGCCACAGCCACGCCTCACAGCCACAGGCACACCTCACCTACAGCCACAGCCACACCTCACCTACAGCCACAGCTACACCTCACCTGCAACCACAGCCACGCCTCACCTGCAGCCACAGCCACGCCTCACCTGCAGCCACAGCCACGCCTCACCTGAAGCCACAGCCACAGCCACGCCTCACCTGAAGCCACAGCCACGCCTCACAGCCACAGCCACGCCTCACCTGCAACCACAGCCACACCTCACCTGCAGCCACAGCCACACCTCACCTACAGCCACAGCCACACCTCACCTGCAACCACAGCCACACTTCACCTACAGCCACAGCCACACCTCACCTACAGCCACAGCCACACCTCACCTGCAACCACAGCCACACTTCACCTACAGCCGCCTCACCTGCAGCCACAGCCACAGCCACGCCTCACCTACAGCCACAGCCTCTCCTCACCTGCAGCCCGTGCCACCCCGCCCACTCTACTCCTCTGTCTTGGAGGAGAAAAAGCTGAGCCAAGTGGCCGTGAGCTTGAACCTACCCTGGGGGCCCTCAGCAAGTGGCTCTGGAGTGCCTGGTGGCGTTGTGGTCTCCCTGTCCGTCGGGGTCAGGAGGCACTATCCCCTGCTTGTTGGATAGGGCGTTCTGCCCAGCGGGCTGGAAGGCTGACACCTGCTGGCTGGTGGCCCCTCTGCATGTCAGCACCCAGTCCCGGCAGGACCGGCACCAGCCTCACCTGCTGGGGGCGGGGGTAGGGGGTGCGGGGGTAAGGGCTCTGCTGGCACCAACCATGGCCACCTGCCGAGCCCCTCAACAGGGACCCGCTAAGTCAGCAGATCAGAATACCCTTCCTTTCCCAGCACTTGAGAGGTTTTCTGTCTTCGAGGGGAAACGAAACCAAACCAGAAATAAGAAATGGGAACTGCAGTGTCTGCGGCCACGGGGACTGGTTGTTCTGGGCCTCTTGGCCAGAGGGTGGCGCGTGTGGTGTGATTGTTCGTGTCGTCTCTGTGAGTTGGGGCATCTGCAGGAGCCGTGGCGTTTATGGGCCGGGTGTGGGGGGCCGTGTCGGGCTCCCGGGTCTCACGCGTCCCCTTGCTCTTGCAGCGGAGCTGGAGTTCGTGGAGATCACCATCATCGTGGTGGTGGTGATGGTGATGGTGGTGGTGATCACGTGCCTGCTCAGCCACTACAAGCTGTCCGCGCGCTCCTTCATCGGCCGGCACAGCCAGGGCAGGAGGAGAGACGACGCCCTGTCCTCAGTAAGTGCCGCCCTCGGGACGTGGCGGGGTGCCCCACGGCGGGGCCTCCCAGGAACTGCAGGGGACAGAGCTCCAGGCTCAGGCAGAGGCTAGGCAGACGGGTGGTGGCTCCGGTGCCGAGCCCTGCGGTGACCCAGACACGGGCGAGCCCTTCCTCTCAGCCGGCACCTCCGGGCGTCGGGCAGGGACTCTTGGCGGCAGCAGGTCACCCGGGGAAGGGCCCTTCTCGGGGCCAAGTTTAATCCCAGCTCCACCGGTCCCGGCCATGTGCCCTCGGACCAGTCCCTCCTTCCTGAAACGGGGCTTCAGTCCCACTTGTGTGAAAGCCGGGGGCAGGCGCTGGGTCCGAGGGCAGCTGGGAATCAGGGAAGGTGGCACCTGGCAGCCCCCGACTGCGGGCGGCGCACATCTCTGAGTCGGTGTTCTTTGGGCACCGGGAGGACAGCGACAGGACAGGAGGCGGCGCTGGGTGTGGCCTCCCGGTTCCCGGGTCTCGGGCTGAGCCAAGCCCGCAGGCAGGCCTGTCCGGGCAGGTTCGGGCCTCTCTGCTTGCGTCAGGCGCAGCCTCAGTGTGTCACCAGGTTGCCAGGGCAAGGAGCGGCCGCTCTGGTCCCTTCAGCGGGAACACTGGGTGCTCAGCCCGAGCCCCCGTGTATGCAGAGGGCTCGGCTGCTCGGAAGGGATCCAGGCTTCCGCAGCCAGGGCTCGCCTGTGTGCTTGGTCGTTGCTGCTGTTACCCCAGCGACGGGCCACCAGCTGCAATGCACAGTCTGGTCTTCACTTACCCGTTTTACAGAGAACTGGCTCAGAGAGGTGGGAACACTAGCCTGAGGCCTCACAGCTCTTCAGTGGCGGTTTGAGAGGTTTGAGAGCCCACAGCCCGTTTGTTCTCCCTCGGGGCTGGGGCAAGTGAGGGCCTTTTGCACAAAGGAGAATACGCCAGCCCTATAGGCATGCTCCAGGTGGATTCCCTTCCCTCCGAGCCCGAGTGAGCATCTGTGGAATGGGTGGAGCTGGCCTTTCTCCCGCTGCCCCATGTGGTCCAGCCTATGAGGATGAAGTTGGCGAGAGTGTGGAGGTGCAGAGGCTCCCGGGGGAGGCGTGCCTGCTTCCACGGAGGGAGGCAGCTCTGTGGCAGCACCTAGGACTTCACGCCCAGACAGAGGTTAGGACTCAGGAGACCCAGGGCTAAAAGAAAGGTGCCCCTCCCCCCTGCCCTCTACCCAGTCACCTGCACAGGTCCCCAGGGACGCCTAGATGGGTAAACACAGCCTTGTTAGGCCTGTGGCAGCTCCCCTGGGGACCCCCTGCCAGACAGGGCGTGTCTGAGGAGTCTCCGGGCCCAGCAACCTCCCAGAGAGACCCAAACCCTGCCACAGTCTGCCTGGGGCTGGGCCCAGCGGCCTGGCTGCCCTGCCGTGGCCCCTTCTCGGGGTGACTTTCTGGGTGTTTGTGTCCTCACTGGCATGCAGTCAAGCCCATTCCCATGGAATCTTCCCTGGTGGCTGTGCTTGCCCCAGAGCAACGTTGTTAGTGATGTAACCGACCGTCTGCCCCACCAAGCAGGAACTAGCTCACTCTCTGGCCCTTTAGGAAACAGTTCGCAGACCCCTGGTTCTACATGGGGAAGCCATGCCAGGCTGGATGGGCTCACCACAAGGAAGCTTCTAGAAAGAAAAGGAGCCAGATGGAGCCTGAGGTGCTAGGGATGGGAGGTGGGCAAGAAGGAGCTGTCAGGAACAACCCTGGGGGTCTGGCATTTGATCTGGGGGTTGGGGCCATTCACTGAATTGGGGAACAAGGCGAGGAAGAACCGGCCTCTTGGCAGGGGTTCTACTTGAGTGCAGTGCTGTCTTGGCGGTGGGTTCTGGGCCAGGCTGGGGGCAGCTGGGCTGCTGTGGGAGCCTCCAGGCAGGCGTCTGGCCCGGTGGCTGGTTCCTGGAACTCCCTGAAGGAGGAGGTGACCTCCAGGTGCAGGAGTTGGAGGTAGTCAGTGGCAGGGATGGTGGGTGGTTCTGGGTCTGCAGTGGGGCACCCAGGCGCTGACAGGTGTTTCGTAACCTTCCTGGGTGGTGCTACTTTGCAACCAGGTGGAGAACCTCTGGGCTAGGGCTCCACCGGTGGGGGTGGAGGTGGGGAAGAGGTGTTGGCGGCCACGTCCTGCCGGGCTTAGCTGGAGGCCTCACAGGAGGCTTTTAGAGGGGCTTGTGTGGGTCACATTTCATCCAAGACGCCTTGGCTGCTTGCACCCCTCCCCAGGGCTCCGATTCCACTTGGGAGCAGGTGGTTGGTTGACTGGGAGAATTGAAATGATGCTTAAAAGAGCTTATCACAGTGCCTGACACCAAGGCAGCAATTGATATGGCATTATTAATATTAGTCCCAAAATGGCCATGGACGACCACATTAACAGTAACAGTGTATGTCTGCTCTCTGCTTCCCCACACCTGGAACATACTAGGCCCCATGAGTCTTCCTGGTTTAGTCAGTGCATTCCTGTTGGGACAGTTTTGAGAGACACAGGGCCGCCTAGTGGCCATGTCGAAAATTGCAGCCCTCCAGGGAATCCTCAACTGGGAGCCCTCCAGAAAACGTGCTCCCAGTGAAATGAATGGGATGATGGATGAGTTTGTTATTCTGATTGTGGTGATGGGTTCCTGGAATATACATGAGCCAAAGTTTAGCCACGTTATATACTTTGAATATGTGCAGTTTATTATATGTCAGGTATATCTCAATAAAGCTAGTTTTAATTTTTAATTTTTTTGCCCCTCCGATGAACTGATCCTGGTGTGGGGCTCCCACTTTCCTGGCCCTCGGGTCTCTCCACATGAAACAGGAATCTCAGTACAGAGGGAGGGGTCTTTCGTCAGATGATAGAGGTCCCGGGAACCTCGGGCAGGGTTTCCAGCTCGGTGGGAGCTGAGGGCCCCGATGTCTGCAGAGCATGCTGTTTCTTGTCCCCTGGTCCCTCTGTGAGGTGGGCTCACTCACTAACCTCTGACAGGCCAAGGTCAGGGTGGCCTGAGCAGGGCAGACGCTGCCCGCAGCGGGTAGTAGGTATGAGGGAGCCAGCATGTGGCTGGAACTCACACAGAGCCGGTGCAGCCTGGCTGCCCGTGCGCAGACCGGAGTCCAGAGCCAGCCCTCTCCATTCCCCAGGGGAGCTGCAGGCCCCACCCAGAGTTTCAGGGCAGAGGGCATAAGCCTCATGAGGTGGCAGCGACATGCCTGGCACCTGGCCCGGAGCTTGGCACAGAAGTGGGGCCACATCCACATTTGTTGACTCACTGAATCATGTCATGGCAGAGCAGCTAGGTGGGGCTTCCCTTATTAACTCATGTATTTCTTCACCTGTAACCTGGGCTCACAATGGGAGGCCAAGACAGTCAAGAGCTAAATAAACAAGTAGACAGGATGTTCTTGTGAGGGAAGTCACTGGAGGACAGGATTTGTAATGGGTGAGGGCCCTCTAGGTGTGGTGTCAGAGGAAGTCTGCAGGGGACACTGGGATTACAAAGCAAGGAGCCTGGCTGGGTGGCTCAATTGGTTGGAGCATCATCCTATGCAAGAAGGGTCTTGGATTTGATTCCCGGTCAGGGCACAACCTGGAAGCAACAGATCAATGTTTCTCTCTCACACATCTCCTTCTCTCTCCTTCCTCCATCTCTCCCTCCCTTCCTGTCTCTAAAAGCAATACACGTATCCTCGTGTGAGGATAAGAGGAAAAAAACAAGGAGTTGGCCATGCAGTGGGGTGGCCATTGCAAAGGCCCTGAGGTGCACACTTAGCATTTCGACGCACTAGATAGCAGTCAGCAGGGCTGGAGACAGCGTGGTGATGGCGTCCGATGTGTTCATATGCTCGCAGAGGGCCCATGCACTCCTAGTGGTTTGCACGCTCCACTCCTTCAGCTGGAATTCAGCCACTCGCCCACGGTGGCACAGCCAGGAAGGGGTGGCCAAGGCCAGGAGGGCTGGATCCGGCCAGGCTTTCTTAGCAGCTAGTCCATGGGTTACTTTGGATTTATTCTAAGGTCCACAGGAGGCGCTGGAGGGTTCGGAGAAAGGAGATTCAGCTGCATGTTTTAGAAAGTGTGGAGGGTGCATTTTCAGGGACAGAGTGGGAGCCCAGAGCTGGGTGTCTGAGAGGTGTCCAGGCCCGGTGGGGATGGAGAGAGGTGGAGAGTGCAAGGTCTCATTCCAAATGGAAGGTCCCAGGGTCAGAACCGGGTGGACCCTGGCTCTCAGCTGTGCTTCATCCCCTGACCTACCTCTCTCCTCCCACACAGGAAGGATGCCTCTGGCCCTCAGACAGCACCGTGTCCGGCAGTGGAATCCCAGAGGTGAGCCCCAGTGTGCCTGACCACCCCCTTCCCCTCCTGCCCTGTACCTGCCCTCCAAAGTACTTTAGTGGACCCAGAAACCCCCAAGCCCAGTGGTGCCCTTCCCGGGCCTGAACCGCTGGCTGCTACAGGCTCACACGCTGCCCTTCTCAGAAGAAATGTGCGGTGGCTGGTCCCCCCTGCCCGGACAGTCTGCACCTACCCCAGGGAGCGCCCCGTGTCTGCCCCAGGCCAGCCAAGGCGGCCCCCCTTGAGCTCTGTGATGATCCCAGGCCCGTGCTGATGGAGGGGGCGGTTCTCAGGTGGAGGCCAGGCTCCAGGCTCGCCTCCCGACCCCTTCCCTCCCTTTCCCCAGAGAGCAGAGTCACGCAGCCATCCTTGCTTGGGCCCTGCTTCTGGGGACCCTCACTCTGCTCTGCTCCCTCCAGCCTCAGGTCTACGCCCCACCGAGGCCCACGGACCGCCTGGCCGTGCCCCCCTTCGCCCAGCGGGACCGCTTCCACCGCTTCCAGCCCACCTACCCCTACCTGCAGCATGAGATCGACCTGCCGCCCACCATCTCGCTGTCGGACGGGGAGGAGCCGCCGCCCTACCAGGGCCCCTGCACCCTCCAGCTGCGGGACCCCGAGCAGCAGCTGGAGCTCAACCGCGAGTCGGTGCGCGCGCCCCCAAACAGGACCATCTTCGACAGCGACCTGATGGACAGCGCCATGCTGGGCGGCCCCTGTCCCCCCAGCAGCAACTCGGGCATCAGCGCCACGTGCTACGGGGGCGGCGGGCGCATGGAGGGGCCGCCCCCCACCTACAGCGAGGTCATCGGGCACTACCCCGGGTCCGCCGCCTTCCAGCATCAGCAGAGCAGCGCGCCGGCCTCCCTGCTGGAGGGGGCCCGGCTGCACCCCGCGCACCTCGCGGCCCTGGAGAGCGCCGCCGCCTGGAGCCAAGAGAAGGAGAAACAGAAGGGACACCCTCTCTAGGGTCCCGGCGGCGGCCAGGGCAGCGGTGGGTGAAAAGGCAAAACACTCCGCACTTCTAAGAAGAGAGAGGAGGCCGGGCCGGACACGCGCGTCGCCATCCCCTCCCCCTCCCTGTGTATAAAAATAGTTACATGTCTGTCTGGTCCGGATGCACAAGCTAAGAAAGCTTGCAAAACAGAACACACACACACACACACACACAACCCATGTTTCTTTGTTGAGCCGTGTCTTGAAGGCAAAAGAGAAAAAACAGTTCTCCCCTAGTTTTTTCTGTTGCTAGTCGAGCTTCGTGAAGGCTTCCTTTCGTTTGTTGATGACGATTTCACTTAACTTTAAAAACATATTTGCACAAAACCTTTGTTTAAAGATCTGCAATATTATATATAAAAATATATATAAAGTAAGAGAAACTGTATGTGCGAGGGCAGGAGTATTTTTGTATTAGAAGAGTCCTATTAAAACACACACAGGTTGTTTTCTGAGCTAGAAGAGAAAGTGGCCCCTTTGGCGCGCCGTCTCAGAACGTGTGTATTACCTTGTAAAGAAAGCAATGACAGAGCAGGGGTCTAGAGTTATTTATATAAATGTTGAGCTTTTGCACTATTTTTTAATATAAATATGTCAGTGCTTGTTTGACGGAAACTTTTATCATGTTTGTCGAGACTCTAAGGGAGAGATGCCCAGCCCGGCGGCGGGCAGAGGGGCTCCGCCTGGGCGGAGAGGCTGGGACAGGCGCTCCGCTCCGCAGTGGGCGCTGTGCCTGGGGTAGGCTCTTCCCTCCTTACACATTCCCGCCCGAAGGGGACACGTTTCCTCCTCGGGGTCAGAACAGCCTTTGAATCGCATGACATAGAGGCACCGAGTTCCAGGTGGTGGCTTTGCCTTCCCCAACTGAAAATAAACTGTTACTGAAGGAATTTAAGTTTTCCCTCCTATTTTTTTTTAATCGTGAAGGTCCCCATCGTCAGGGGCGAAGGTGCTGCTATTGACACGCCGAGGGGTAGAGACGGCTTGTTGTGCAGAATTCGATGGTGGCTCCAGAGCTGGTCGGTTAAGGTCAGTGCGGTCCGCTGGCTACAGGAAAGGCCCAAAGTCCTAGGACTGTGACCCTGTCCCTGGCTTGCTCTCTACGGATGATTCCCACTTAATGGGCCAAAAACAGAAGACCAGAGGTGAAAGCGACACTCCCAGGACATGCGGAAGGGCTGAGACCAAAGACGGTCACACCCCGAGCTCGAGGCTTTAGGCCAGGGCTGGGGACGTCGGCCCAGGGGCCCCTCGAAGTCATTGGGTCTGGCCCTGCCACGGCAGTAGGGGTGAGGGAGTTAAATGTCTGACCGAACACAGCGGCCCGGTTTTTAAGGTGGTGATTCCGTACGGCCCGTGAATGGAAAGAGGTTCCCCACCCCTGCCTTCTCTCCATCCCCGTTCCTCCTGGAAACAGTCCTGGTCCGTGTGTTTCTTTCCTGTGTTTCCATAAGCATCTTCCTCAGACACGACTCCTGTTCACCGGGGTTTCGCAGTAGATTTGTGTGTGGGGAGACCCCTCGTGGGTGTGTGTGGGCACACGTGTGTGCGAGTAGAGATGAGTGGCAGGAAGTGGAGTGGGGGTCCCTTGGCATCTGCCGCTGACGGTGGCTGGAGCTGGAGGCCTTTCTCCGGGTGAGGACTCGCTAATCTCCACGGTGGGTGACCCCCCAGCTGGAAGAGCAGCCCCCTGTCCCCCACCCCACGGAGGTGTCCTCATTTTCAGCAGAATGCCAACTAGCCGACTGACATAAGAGAAAGATAGGAGGCAATAACTATTGTTTTTAAGCAACTATTTTATTACTTGAAAAATGAAAACCTGGGAACAGTTTTGAAGTCCTGACCATTTGAACTCTGTTTATATACAAATTTTACAAACAGGCGAGCACCAGGCAGGGGCCACTGCGTCCTCGGCCAGCCTGGCAGAGGTGTCCGCCCTGACCACAGCACCTGCCTCTCCGTGGGTCTTCAGCCTGAACCTTGCTGCCCTCAAAGAGGGTTCTTTTCAAAAGACGAGCAGAGAAGCCCCTGCAGTCTGTGCTGACAGGACAGGGACAATTTGTAGGGAACAGTTTTAAAGGGAGCCTTTCCGCGGAGTCCGCGGAGTCTCCCTAGTGCCTTACTGAGGAAACACTGGGCTCGGTCGCCGGGCTGGCGTTCCTGGGCTCGCCCGGACCCGCCTCCCGCTCCTGGCCCGCAAAGGGCTGCTGCTTCTCAAACCTCCCTTTGTCCTCCCTCGTCCCAGCCCACCTGCCCTCCGCCCTGCACGTCCTCCCTGGGCCGGGCGACCCCTCCTGCCCCAGCCTTCCTGGCCAGCACTGTGCTTACTGCCCCCCTGGGTGGGAACCTGGAAGTGGGCCTCCTTGGTGTGAGCAGCCAAAAGTCAGTGCGCAGCGCCCCCGGGTCCTCTGAACCTCGTTGCCGGTGGCGCGGTCCGATCTGCTGTACTTTCGGAATTAGGAGGAAGCTGGGCCACCGACCTCAGCCGGCTGGAGGCAGAGCTCGCCCCTGATCAGCCCCAGTCAGGGCTGCAGGCCAGGTTGCCGTGCAGCCTGTCCCTGGGCTCGTGCCCAGCAGGTGACCGCTGCGGACGTGCATCTCAAGAGAACAGTATGTGTTTCCAGAAATTGGCGCCGTAGCTAAGCTCTGGGTTTCTCTGTGGACCCCAGAGTTGGGGTGCGGGGGGCATGATTTCCTCTAGGTCAGTGGTTCTCAACCTTCCTAATGCCGCGACCCTTTCATACAGTTCCTCATGTTGTGATGACCCCCAATTTCATTGTTACAAATTGAACATAATTAAAGCATAGTGATTAATCACAAAAACTATGTAATTATATATGTGTTTTCCGATGGTCTTAGGCAACCCCTGTGAAAGGGACGTTCGACCCCCAAAGGGGTCGCGACCCACAGGTTGAGAACCGCTGCTCTAAGTGTCGACTGTCAGGCTGTTATCTTTGAAAAGCCTTTGCGCACCCCTCAGGAGGCCCCTGTTGCCATAGAGAGTTGGGGGTCTTTAGAAGTGGCTGGTTGGAGGGGGACCAGGTTGGGCTCAGAAAAGGCGGTGGAGCTCAGCTATCTGTAATGCTCACTGTTTTCCTGCTTGTCAATCATCACATCCCCCACATCCCGTTCCCACAAAGCCCGGTCCACGCACACGGACTTAGCAAAGTCCACCGTGAGCCGTCCATGTTCCCTCAAAGCCCAGTGTCTGTGCAAAGAGCTAAGAGTGACCTCTTCCCCGTCCAGCGCGCACCAGGGCCAGGCGAGCACCGAAGCCGCCCCTGTCCTTGTCTGTCTTGTCTGTGAATTCTACGTTTCAGAGGTTTCTTTTTCCTACGCGCAGCGCAAAGCTTCCAGGTCCATAGAACATCCCGATGACAAGGAAAGAATTTCAGATGTTGCTGGGACTGGGGCGCTGCGAAGGCCGCGCGCTCCCCTTGCCGCCTGACTCCGTGGTGGCGTGCGGATGGCGGCGCCCACTGGTGTCCCTGGCGCCGGAACTGCTCGCCTTTGCCGCCCTGTGTCACGAGTTCGTTAAACTGCAAACTGTCCATGTCACTCGGGCCGTGCTCCACCGCTGCTGCGGCAGCCGTTGTATTCGATGCCAGTCCACGGGCCTGATGAAATTGCTTGTTGTTATCAATAATCGTTAGTGGCAAGGATGACGTTCTGAAGAGCTGCAATACTTACACAATAAATTTTACAATCTTTGGAATGAGGCTGGTTTGTTTCTTTGGTCGTTCCCCTGCCCCCACCGCCCTCGGCAGCAACCCCAGGACCCCATGGAGCTGAGCAGCCTGAGACCTTGGCCAATTCCTTGCTCCTCTGCTTTAGGGCAGGGAGCCCAGTGCTAACGCAAGCTCGGGCTGGTGGTTTTAGCAAGAGAGGTGGTGTTTGGGTTAAAGGAATTTCCAAAACATTACCTACCTTTCCTCCTGGGAAAATTTTTAAATCACCAACGCATGACAAAAGCTCTGATAAGGTCTGCAAGAAAGAAACTGTCTGAGGTAGGGTTCTTCTAGAAGTAAACTCAGACGTGCCCCTGTCTGAAGGGATGTATCACGGTTGTCTCCAGGGGAGACCAGGGACTCAGGAAGTGGATCACAGAACCCCACAGTGCCCACGACAGAAACTCGTGTTTATTTCTCTGTCATGTCTAAGTGTTGTTGTTTAATCAGCCTAAACAGCCCATAACCCGCAGCGATGACCAGTTTGGTCTCAGCCCCAAGGTTCCCTAAGCTTCTGGACCACAGGCTTACAAAGCTGCCCACTGCGTGGGGACAGAACTCAGCACGTGTCTGCACTACCTGCTCCCTCTCTCTGGTGCACACAAACCTCAGATCACAAAGACTGGGGGGAACCTAAGAGCTTATTTATGCTTCAGTGCTAGGAGCACAGCAGGCATCACAGCGCAGTGCCCAGCGGGGCTCTGGAGCCCCAGTGCCTCCCTTGCTGACCCTCAGCCACCTCATCTGTAGAATGGGTTGATGGCGGAACCTGTGAGCTGGTCGCGCTCGGTGTCTGATACGATAAGTCCTCAGAAGGGTGCCGGCCACATGCAAATGTGAGCTGCTTTTCTTACTAACAGGCTCCCAGGATGGGTTTCCTGTAACCCAGTCCACTGGAGCTTCTGGGCCGGTTTGTAGGTCCTGGGCTGAGCACACAGCCAGCACCTCCCCCAGGGAGTCAGGACAGAGGAGCCTTTCCCAGCGGGGAGGGGAGCCCTGGGTTCCGATGGGAAGGAGACCCCACACACACACTTCTGAGAACAGCCCAAGCAGTGCAGCCGTATCCGTCCAGAATAATGACTGAACTCAGAACAGCTGGTGTTTTTGGAGCATCTATTAGATTACAAGCGTGATGCTAAGTCATGACAGAAGGTGGCTGCTCGTTGGGGCGCTGAGGAGGCTCCTGGGGTGCCAGTGCATCAGGCCCAACCCCAGACCTCAAAGAACTCACCTGGGACCACACCACCACTCCGAGAGGGCGAGAGTGGGCTGTCAGAAGCGAGAGGGAGGTTGCCGACGGCTGCATTATTGCGCTCAGAGGCACGAGGAAGGAAAGGAGGGAGAGGGTGAGCCAGGCGGCTGCGTGAGCACAGGACGCCAGGGGGCTTGGCAGGGCGGCGCTGACGGGCAAAGCGATGCCCTGGAGGGGAGGCTGAGCCTCGCTGTGCACAACGACCAGGGAGGGCGGTGGGTGTGGCCTGGTACGGAGTGGGGCACCGAGAAATGGTTAGGAACATCGCACAGGCCATCAGAATGCGGCCGAGAAAAGGGCCCAAGCTTCCCCTCAGAGCCCCACGCCAGCGCCTGGACGCAGCTCAGCTGTGACCGTCTGGACTCAATCGTCTGCAGATTTCAGGTGGAGGCTTGTCCCATGGCCTCCATTCTCTGTGGGTAAAGAAAAGTTGTTGATTTTTAGTTGGTCCATCTGTTTCTTCTTGTGAGCATAAGAGTGATGACTTCCAGGCTGTTTGCACCTCAAACCGGAAACAGAAGTTCTCTGTAAAAAAAAAAAAAGTTCTCTTTTTTTAGAAATTGAGATAAAATTTACATACTCTGAAATTCACCTTTAACGTCCAGTGGGCTTAGTACAGGCACGAAGTTGTTCAGCCATCCCCAGGATCGAATTCCAGGACGTTCGCATCATCCCCAATAAAACCTCACTCCATTCCAGTCCCTCCCCAGCTCCGGGCAGCCACAATCCACTTCCTGTTTGCACAGATTTGCCTACTTCAAACATTTCCTGTAAGTGGGGTCATGCAATATGTGATCTTTTCCTTATATTCTGTGTCTGGCTGCTTTTCCTTAGCCTAGTGTTTCCCAAGGCCCATTCATGCTGTCGCAAGCATCAATACACTTCTCCGTTGAGTACCATTCCGTTGTAT